CTTTCCTAACAGAGCACTTCACTCTCAGACTGCAGATTTATTTGTGGTTCAAGTTTCTAAAAGTAGAATGGGAGGCAGAGCTTTCAGTTATTAAGCTCCTCTCTTGTGGAACCAACTTCCAGTTTCTGTCCATGAGGCTGACACTGTCTACTTTTAAGATTAGACTGAAGACTTTCCTTTTTGATAAATCATATAATTAGTCTTAGGTTTCTTGAATTATTCCTCTTTTCTGCTGCTATAGACTTAGACTGCTGGAGCACAAACTGAGCACATTATCTCACTCTGCTGTTGTCTTTAGTCTCTCTTCTCTGCATGTATATTATAATTATTTCCATCAATAACATATTTTTTTTTCTTTTTGTGGGTGGCTGTGGCAGAGTGGTTAGGGGAGTCATCCTGGAACCGGAAGGTTGCCAGTTCGATCCCCCGTCCAGCTGTCTCAGTTGTTGTGTCCTTGGGCAAGACACTTAGGCCCTAATGCCTCTGATGTGTGTCCCATCAGTGTATGAATGTGATTTGCACAGATTAGTCTCCATAGATGATTGTACATGTTAGCTTTGTAGGAGATCTGATAGAGTGCTCTGTGAATGGGTAAATGAGGACACAGATTGTAGTGTAAAGGGCTTTGAGTGTCCTGGATGGATAAAAACGCGCTATATAAGTACAGTCCATTTACCATATTTACCATTTTTGTCTCTTTCCAGAAGAAGGTGCACCTGGACCAGTTCTTCTGTGTTTGGCTGTGTCTCTTTCCTGTCCCCCAACCCAGCCGGTCGAGGCAGATGGCCGCCTGTCCTGAGCCTGGTTCTGCTGGAGGTTTCTTCCTGTTAATAGGGAGTTTTTCCTCTCCATCGTTTGCTCAGGATGGGAGACTGTGATGAAGTGATTCAACACAATCTGCTGGCTTCTTCTTTTGATTGTTCTTTTTTCATGTACAGTGCACTGAGACAACGTATGTTGTGACTTGGCGCTATATAAATAAACTGAATTGAATTGAATTGGAATGAGTCTTTCGCTGAATGTGCTTCTGTATTTCAATACTGTGTTGTAGAGAGGGTTGTAAACATTGTCCTTAATTCCCTGCAGCTTTGCCAGGGAATCATGGACAATGCATCCCTTAGGAGTTTATTTTTCCCAAAATCCTAAAAGTATCCTAATGCACCCCTTTGTTCTACTATTTAATATTTTAAGAAATAGATAATGATCAGTCAGTTTCGATTTTGTGATTACTTCTGTTTTAAACAAGTTCCATGGCCCAGAAGTTCTTGCTGCCCCACAAATGCGACTTGTAGTTGAGAATGACAAAGCCTTCACCTTCCCATGAAATAGCCTTTGTGTCAATTGTCTAATTACTTTAGTTTTTTTTGTTTTATTTTTTATTTTTATTATTTTTTAAGCGGGGTGGGTACATGCTAAGGAACTGGACTCCTATACCCCTTATGCCCATGTCCATTGTATAACTATAATTTGAATTTGTTTCAGTAAACAGGCAATAATACAAACTTTGTGTAAGTGTGCAAATTGGTATGGACCTAACTGTATCTGTGGTTAACAGTGATCTGTCACTGAGATTGCACATTCACATAAGTAAAGGTAAGGAAAGTGGACCTGTGATTATAACTTTTTTTTATAACTGAATATTTTTATTCACAGAGATGAGAGACAAGCTACGTAAATGGAGAGAAGACAACTACAGAAATAGCGAACAGATAGTGGATGTGGGTGAAGAGCTCCTTAGTGAGCATGCATCTAAACTGGGAGATGATGGTGAGTATTTCTAAACAACAGCAAAACAATGACAACATTGTAGTTTTAATCCCATGCATAACTTTTGACCATTTGAGTACATGACAACCACAATAGTTTTCTCTGACATCAAACTCTTTAAATCTGTTTCACAGTGGAAGATTTAGGAAGCACTAGTGCATTGGTGTGAAATCGTGTACTACAGAAAGTTGCAATCAATACTATTTCTAGGCTAACGCAAGTAGATGAACAGTAATAATGTCAAATAGTAGGGCTGCAACTAATGACTATTTTGATAATCACCTAATCTGTGATTATTTTTTCAGTTAGTCGATAAGTCAACAGTTATTTTTGTCACATAAATTCTAAATGTAACAAAAATGTTTTGATCTTCTGATTTACGTTTACAACAAAAACAGCAATAATCCTTCTCGAACAAAAATTTTTATGAGTATACATTCTTTTTCGTATTTCTTAAACAAACCAATTTTAATCATTCTCTTAAATATAAACATTGATCTGGCATTTTTAACAGCACTTTCCAGATTATTCCATAATCTTATTCCATGAATTGACGTACATCGTTCCTTCAAACTGGTTCGAGATTTAAGTTTCACAAACATCTCATTCCCCTTAAGATTATAATGGCTCTCTTTTTTAACAAATTTTAACTTGATATTTAGAGGTAATATGTTTTTATGAGCCATATTTTGACTTGTTTTTCCAAAACTATGCAGTAAAATGATGAAATTGTAGGAAAGAAATGCATTGTTCAAAATGGTATGTCTGAATAAATAGTAATCTGCTAGATTTCTTCTTTAAAACTTTATTTTCAATATCCTGACTCCAATCAGGTTCACAGTACAGCACTCAGCACACAGGCCTCAGTAAGACCTTGGGCTGAACCAAAAACACAGCTGCCCTGCTCTGAAGCAGAGACTCTCCACAACACTCTGACAACTTCCTCCTACTATAATAATGAATTGACCTTATAATGTACATCTCTTCCTGGTTACATCCCTGGAGGTGTTACCTTTTACGTCAGATGTCAGAACGTAACTCATTTTGTTTAGAGTAAAGAAAGAACACATGATAAGACACACACCAACACTTTGTCTGCTTTAACTTAAAGACTGAAATGATCAAAGTATAACATACAATATCGCATCCAATATTCAATTAATTAATTACAAAATTAATTTTTGTTACAGTATAAGTAACTATAGGTCAAATATGTGATTTTAAATATTTTTTAAAGTGTAGCGGTAATTCGGGTATTAATTAAGAGAATTTGTGAATTATTAAAATTCATAAATTCATTTCCTCATGGATCACCACTTCCCCTTTTTTATACTTTATTTATTTTTTTTATATGTTTTTTATACAGAACAGCAACGAGAAAGAAGAAAGAAATAATAC